CTGGTTGTACATGATGTAGAGTCACATCATATGTGCAGTCATACATGTACCTAGGGTAATGATGTCCATCTCATTCCACCATCTTTCCTGCCCCATGCCTCCTCCCTCCTCTCCCTTTTGTCCAAAGTTCCTCCATTTTTCCCACGTCCCCTGCCCCCATTATGGATCAGCATCCACTTATCAGAGAGAACATTTGGCCTTTGGTTGTTGTGTTTTGTCCTACTTTTTCTGCCTCTGTTGAGTGGATGATGTGGTTTTGTCTTTTATTCCATTAACAGAGCATTATATTAATTGAATTTTAGATGTTAAAATATCCTTGCATTCCTAGGATCAATCTCAGTCAGTCATGGTGTATAATCCTTATGATATATTTCTGGATTCAATTTGGTAAATTTCATTAAGTATATTTGTATTTATGTTTCTGAAAGCTATTTTTTTTTAGTTTCATTTTCTTGCAACATTTTTGTCTTGCTTTGGTAGCAAGGTAATACCAAGAAACAGTTTCTATTGACAGTTTTTTTTTTCCTCCGTAAAAATATACTTTTTAAAATAAAAATAAAAAGTATATTTTCTGTTTCTTTGCATGTATCATAAATTTTTGTTGCAAACTTGTCATTTTAGATAGTATATTGTGGTAACTCTAAATTACCCTCTCCCTGCCAAAGGTTGATGTTGCTTTTTGGTTTATTTGTTTGCTAGTTTAATAATTTGCCTAGAATAAATCTATAAGATTTGTCTTCCCAAAGTGTGTGAAAATGGATCTCTCTGCTCAGTTATATATATATATTAAATCTTGATTTTATTGTTTGTTTTTGTTCTTTGAGATTGTATCTCATTATGTTGCCCAGGTTGGCCTCAAATTCCTGCACTCAACTGATCCTCCTGCCTCAGCCTCTCATGTGCTGGGACTTTAGGTACATGGCACCATGCCTGACATACAAAAAAGCTTGACTTCCTAGGGGTGGCCCCCTTGTATGAATAACTTTGTGGTCAGCTAAGGATTGGACAGAGGTGGTGCCCAAATACCTTGAGCCATTAAATCTTCTATCTTCTGCCAGTGAGTTAGTGTGTGGATAGGGGAGTACATTCAAACATCTACCCTGATGTTTACTTTCTGCAGGGCCTTGTTGAATCTCCTCTGGATATGCTAAGAATGTGTAGATTGCTGGGTTCTCCAATGTGCATGTATGCAGCATCAATCTGTCAGATGTTTGTCTCAACCCAATCTCATCTTTGGCTAGTAGAGCTTTTGGTCCTATTCATTTGTGGCTGCCAAGGTCACATCCATCAGTAACACTTCTGGGCATAAGCATTTTCTAATGCCCCATATATAGTGAGCCTTCTTCGATCATGTCAATGAAAATGCCCATGCTCAGAGCTTGCCTATAGAACATCTCTGATATCAGAGTAAGAAAAGGGAATGAGAGCTGTTTCAGGCAAGAATATTGTAGATTAATTGTTATTACCTAAAGTCAAAAACTTTTTTAAGCACAAATGCTTCTCAAAGTGTTATATGTCTTCTGTTGAATTCCAGAGCACCAATATAGTGGTTTGTCTATGTTGTCCATTTTATTATTGGTTTTTGGGAAGAAGGTTTTCTGAAATTCTGTTTTTAACGGAGGAAAAATCCCAAGTCCTAACTATTATGTCTGTGTTAAACTCTTAGTTGCAAAAAGTTGAAGACCCCATAAAAGCAGAGAAAATTGATAATCTTAGATATCCATGTTGAGAAAAAAAGGCACAAACTGATCTAGTACATTAGCAAGTAACATGAAAAATTGGGGAAAAGGCTTGATTTGAACCTAACCTTGCTCTTTACACTATAGCAGTATGACCAAAGAACCTCCTACAGGGCCCCCGTTTAAAAAGTCTCACCACCCCCCAATAGCACCATCCTAGGGATCAAGCCTCCAAACATGAACCTTTGTGAGGGCACACAATTAAACAATATCCAAACCACAGCAAAGCTGATCAAAAAAATTTAAAAAGACAACCCATGTATGAAAAAGGGTTAAAGAACTTTTATAACCTCAATAATAGTGAAAGAAATGCATATTAAACCAGATACCAATTTTTATTTATATTTTTAGTGTTGAGAATTGAACCCAGGACTTGGCACATAACTTGGCAAGCATTTCACCACTGAGATACACCCCCATCAAGGTGCAAACATTTAAAGGACAGTGATCAGTGCCAAGAGTACTTTCTTAGGGATGTGGGCCATCTTATAGCTGGTGGTGGAAACATAATGCAGTACAACTGCTAGAGTTTTGTTTGGTAATATGTCTTAAACCTTGAAAACATTATTGGGAAAAGGGGAGGGAGGGGAGAGCATGGGGGCAGGAAAGATGGTGGAATGAGATGGACGTCATTACCCTAGGTACATGTATGACTGCACATATGGTGTGACTCTACATCATGTACAGCCAGAGGAATGAAAAGTTGTGCTGTAATTGTGTACTATGAACCAAAATGCATTCTGCTGTCATATATACCTAATTAAAATAAATAAACAAATAAATTAATAATTTAAAAAAGATATACCGATTCTGATAAAATTGTATTTTTTATTAATATTTTGCAAGTATTTTAGAACTTCATCTTCTCTTTAAGAATTTTATAGGAATCTATTAACTGGGATGAAAAATGCCACAACAGGACAGAATATTGCTTATAATATTTTTTTACCATGGTACTTGAGGGGGGAAACTGTCTGTTTCCTGGACCTACCTGAGTGACTGGCAGCCATTTTAAATAGGTGAGCTGAATGAAGGTTGCAAATGCATGTTTCAGGTCATGCCCACCCAGGAGAAGCCCTGGACCCTGGAGAAGGATGAATTGTTTGGAGGAAATTCTCTCAGAGCTGGGAGGACCCTGCCCCAAACATTGACTGCTCTGTGCAGCAGGAGTGACCTGCTTAGTTCTTGGCCAGAGGACCCTGGCAGGACCTCTCACCTGACATGTGATTGGTGTAAGTCTCAGCCAAGAATGTGCTCAGCTGGGAAGGGCATGACATCACTTGTGCCATTCTACACCAGCATTTAGGACTTTTTGTGCCAGGCAGACGAAAATGAGCAGATAAACTACTCACGTACCATCCTAACTCAAGTTATAGAAGAGAAGAGCAGCACAAGAAATGAATAAATTTGCTCTAAGTGTTCAGATTACACTAAGGGGTTGGGGATATAGCTCACTTGGTAGAGTGCTTGCCTTACGTGCACAAGGCCCTGGTTTCAGTCCTCAGTACCCCCCCAAAAAAAAAAATCACAATAAGTCAGGAACTGATTATATTCCTGTCCCCAGCAAGCCTAAGGTGGCTGTGACTACAGTGGCTCCAATTCATTTGGGAACCCCAAAAAATAATAGTGGGAATTTTGGGGAAGCCCAAAAGGAACTCTCAAGAGTTCTAAGGTCCTTAGAAGGACAATACCTCTACAAATAGTTCTTTTCCTTTTTTTTTTTATAGGTTTGGAAAAATAGATTACTTAAAACATGTTTTTTTTTTTTAATACTCCATACTGCTTGACTTGGAATTATACTCAAGTTTTTATGTCTTTACATTTAATCACAAACTCATGTATTTTTTTGGTGCAATTGAAGTACACTAACTTAGGACTTCTTTTTTCTCTTCAACATCTTACTCCTTCCATCTCTCCTTTAATAATCACAGAAAATTCAAAGCAAGGGTCCTGAACTAATTGAACTTAATTTCAAGATCTCTGATTTTCTTCTATCCCTGCTCCTTAAAACCTAAGATTGAAATAAAAATTCCATGGCTGCAGGCTAACAAGATGATAATGAAGCAAATATGGTCAAATCAGTCAGTTATTCTATCAATCACCTATTTATTCTTCTTCTGCTCCATTATTCTTTTGTGAGATGAATTCTAGAGATTGAAGGAGTTAGTTTTTCAACTTGTTTGTAAGAAGGAAAATTAAGTTTCACAGTGAAATACATTCTACTGTCATGTATAACTAAAAAAGAACAAATAAAATATTTTAAAAAAAGTTTCAAGGTTTAGATTAAAGTACTCCCAGGTAACTTGTCTTTCATAACCATATCAGATTTATCTGTTGCTTTGGGGCATGTGTATACTTTCAGCTTTGTCCTCTTCTGCTGTGTGTGACATTTGTTTATTATTTACCATTACTCCTCCTCCTCTCTTTATTCCCATCTTCAAGTTATCTCTCTTTGTCCAGAAAAGCCCCTGTGAAATGTTCAGCTTTACAGAAAACCAAAAAATACCCATAGTCAGTGATCCTTGGTAACTCGTGCATTCTGTTGCATTGCAAAGGTGTGATCTCAGAGACAGGTGTTATTTTCTTTTATTTTTTATTTTTTTATTAGTTGCTCATGACAATGCAATGATCTTGACATATCATACATTTGAATCAAATGGGGTATAATTTCTCATTTTTCCAAGTGTATAGGTTGCAGAATCACATTGGTTATATGGCCACATATTTACATACAGCAATACTAGTGTTTATTTGACAGGTGTTATTTTATTTTATTTTTCTTTTTTAACTAAAGGAAAACTTTTATTTAAACTGTGCAATCAATCAGTATTTAGACAGCAGTTTCATAAACATTTTGGCATTTAAACTTTTATTAATTTTTGGCATGACCTGTAAGGGTAGAATACAAACTACCCTGGGGGAGGGAAAAAATACTAAAAAATATTTACTATGATGCTAGAAAAAAGAAAACAAACCCACATTATTAAACAAAATGTTTTAGATTCTTAGCATTCAACGTCTATCTTCCCGTAAGAAGATAATATTCAGAAACAAATTGATTCTACAGTACACTTATTCATGTTTAACCATTTTAGATAATTGTTTTTGGTCTGCAAAACAACTTTGCTTTTGAGGATTATAGTGCTCATACCAGAGTGAAAATTTATAGTTATGTCCCTTTCAAAGTCACCCACTTGGAGCTGCTAATTTTAGCTGTCTCTGGGTCTCACAAGAGGTTTCTTTCTAAGCTGTCAGTATTCAGGTGCCATGCATTCAAATACTTTTGTCGTGAGACAAAATAGCTTCAGAAGTATACATCTGGATTTTGTTTTTTTTCTTGGATTTGGACAAAATTCAACCATAGAAATGCCCACAGTACAAGTTGACTTTGCAAAACAGGGAGAGTTTCTGGCAATCTGAAGGAATAGAGCTCATGGTATTTCTTCTGTGACTTTCTTCTGATCTTTGTGTATTCTTTTATTTCTTACTAGTATAGTCAAAATAGGAAGAGGGTGTGGATGTGCATGTGGAGGGGGAGGCGGGGTAGGGAGGGCAGGGGAGAATGGGTCCTGCCTTGTTTCTGTGGCTCAGAGAACTTCCGAGGACGACTATAGTGCCATTTCTAAATGAACAACACATGACTCTTATTTTCACCTCTTCTCTGCCCTCCCTTTAGGTTTCCTATGTACTTCAAGCGCCTGCTCCCTGTGGTACAAAACTCTGGTGTGTGTTACTCCAGCCTCCTGGAGCCGTTTTGCTTTCCTAAGAGAGGAGCCATTAACTCCTGCAGGGTCTGTGCAAGGAGCTGTCGGTGTCCCCACAGCAGCAGTCAGTGACAGCTCATCTGGGTTTCATCAGCTCTCTGGGGCAGCGTTTCACCAGGCCCCTTTGCCAGAGCCTCCCCGGCGTCAACAAGTGTCGCACCTACTGCAGAAACAGCCCTCAAGTTTCATCACAGTGATGCTCAAAAATATTCTCCAGCTTCAGCAATGACCTAGTTCATTCAAGGGCAGGGGAAAAAATGCCCTTCTTCCAGAACTTGCCCAGGCACAGAGTTTTCCTCTTAGGAAGACAGGACTCCCAACTGTGCTTTGATCAGTTTTTGGAAAAGACCTTGAATTTGAATCCCTGTCCCAGAAACCGTGTCACCCGATCAATGTCTCAGATACAGCCTGGGGAGCCCACCACGGATCCAGCCCTCCAATAACATCTCTTGGACAAACAGTACTGAAAAGTAAGTATGGAGACTGGTTCTTACTGAAGGGATGGCTGTGCTTTAAATACATAATCATTTAGCAGACTGCTTCCTTAAGAACTAAAACAAGATGAAGCAAGGGGTATCGGTGGGACGCTGGGGCATACCACAGTTTTAATGTGTCCAAATTCTCTTGGTCTGGTAATTTAAGTCCACTCTGACCTTTCTTTTCTTTTTCTTTTTTTTAAATTATGATTATTTAAAAATGTTTTTTATTTTGGCTTGACAATAATTAAAATAGTTTCCTTCAAATTGTGTCTGTCTTAACAACTAGATAAAACAGAGGATAACTGAAAGGAGTGGTCTGCAGGGGCTTTGCAAAGTAACATGAAAAATTGAGACAGTTATCTGGGTAATTCTGACCCCGGATACTTCTGCCTGATATAAATGAGTATTTTAGTCAAAAGTTATTCCTCTTCCCTTGGATTATCTGAACAATTGAAAATTTGAAAATTTGCCCTTTCTGGAGGACACAGCAGTAATTTTTCTGATAACAGGTAATGCAAGTTGCTAAAAAGTTCTCTGATTATTTCAAAATGGCTCAATGGCTCATGCAAATATTCATCCAGTTGTTAAGTAGGTTTTTTTTTTTAAATGTAAGGTAAAAAGTCAGTAAAAAAAATGCCTGCTGATAAAAAGGCACCACCATCATGTTACATTTTAATCAACACATCTAAACTTTAGAGCCACTGATTAAGGGTGTCAGTTACAGACATCTGACAATCATTTAAAAATAGATAAAAGCAAGAACAGCATTTAGAATTGCTTCTGCTTAAATTATTTCCTTTCCTCAACCTTCCCCTTGTGCAAAGGAAGCCCTCATTTTTGAAGAATAATTAATCAGGAATGGTAGTCATTCTTACTGCTCTGGAGGCATATGGTTTATTTCACAACACTGTGCCTTCTAGGGGTAAAGAATGGGCTTGGAACCCGGGATGCTGAGAGCTACCGTCTGAATCAGCAACTCTACAAATCCTGTACTAAAAGGTGCTGATGGCCAATAGACATATTCAGATCTTGGAAACCAGGATTTGAAACCAACTAATTGTCTTTCGGCTCCCAAATAACATTCCTCCTTTAATGTTTATATAAAACACTTGATCAAAATTTGGGGATTCTTTTAGGTAGGACAGAATTCCTGTTTTTATCACCTGACCCCCCCCCCAAAAAAAAAATAGAAACATTAGTTTTTTACAGCTCCATGCACACTTACATGTAGCTCTCAGCCTATGTGCAAGGGGAGGGCCATTGTGAGTAGTCTCATCTGGATGGAGCTGGGAACGAAGGGAGCCCAGGCATCGCAGTCAGATTCGGAATCAACTTCTGACTCCAGCACAGTTTTTCCAAATGTCTGAACCCCAGTTTTTTTTTCATCTGTAAAATGAAGAAAATGACATCCACTTTACCAGAATTGATGTGTGATTAGATGAGTAAATATATCTAACATATCTGCCACATCTTAGTTTCTCAACAAGTTAGTTCATCACCTTTGTTCATTCAAAGCTTCTTTCTCTTTCTTGTTGCTAAGACTTCAGGATATGATACTAATATTAACTCTATGAAGTAATAGAAACTATACCTTAGGGATATTGGTAGGGTGATTAAACAAACAACATGGAAAATTAGACTCTGAGGAAAATTCTGTATTTGGAAATAGTGCGTTTGGAAATAAAATTAATTTTAAAAAAGAACTATGTTTTGGAATGCATCTAATAAATAAGAAAAACATTTTACAGAAAATTATTGGCCATATGTTTACTATCTAAAAAGAGAGATAGAGATTTATCAACATCATCTTAGACTACTTTTATCTAGCAATACCATATTTAGATATGAGTGTTTGGGAATGGATAGGAATGGAAGATGGAGTCAATCTATATATAAGGTGATGTCCATGATTATTATGGAAACTATGAAAACTGAGGCCCAAGTCCAGACTTTCCTCAAAGATGATAGTTGAGACCTGCATTGATTAGACGTAGGTGCTATGGAGTGGAGTGGATAGAAGTGGAGGTGATGACTCTGAAGAGGATTGTCAGTATGTGGGGGGCTGAGCAGAGATAGTACCTGGATGGGCTGTCTCAGGAGCAGTGCAGTTTCCAGTGCTAGGGACCACCCTGCGGGCTGAAATCGCAAGGTCCATGGTGAAAGTTCACAGTGAGCAAAGCGCTCCCTTGTTCTGAAGAGAGGGTGAGTCAGGCACAGGAAGGGCAGGTGAGAATCACTGGACTTGTGAGATAGCTCCAGAGAACTTTACAGATGTCATTCTTATTAGCCCTTGTTTTTACCATCTTAGTCAAAAGTATCACTCCACAGCTTTCCCCAGACAAAATCAGGGTGATTTTGATGGATTTTCTGTTTGAGCTACCGACTGGTTCACATGGAAATGCCAAAAAGGAAAACTGGAATTGGAGAAATGTAAAAAAAAACTTGGGAGAAAATGGTGTCATCTAGGGGCTAGCAAAAATGAAGGCGTAAATACCCAGCCTACACAAGAGAAAAGAACATTTTAAAAAGTTTAGAGGCTTTATTAGGATTTCTGCAGATGTGCGTCCTCCTGGCATGGTCTAAAAGGGCACAACCAATCAGGGCACTGGACCTCAGATTGAAGAGACAGACAGCAGGCTAAAGAGAGGCTCAGTCCTGGAAAGCTCAGGTCTGGACACTCGGAACCTACCTCTCAAGGGCCAAACTCTGCATGGCTCCTAATGACACATCTGGGGTGGCACCAGTCACCTGGATCTTCAATTGATCCTCACCCAGCTCTTAGATAACCAGGCTCATTTTCCCCCCTCAATCCTTGTCTAAGACATTTTCCTGAGTCCAATTATTCTCAAACTTTCAAGTGCATCCATTTAAAGTGAATGTTGTTAAAATACCAGTTGCTGGGCTCTACCCCCAGAGTCTCTGATTCTGAGGGACCCCAAAATTTGCATTTTTTTCCTGGTGATGCTGATGGTGAAATGCCCTGCTTCAGACATTTCTTTGGCCTGCAGTTCCTCAAGAAAACCTGCTTATGCTTCTTATTTTCAATCACTGAACTTGCCTTCCTTCTCAGAGACACCCAGGTCACTGATACAATGTGCTAGTGCTGTACTGAACACAAAAGAAAAATCAATTGGGTATCCTGCACGCAAACCCGTTACAGTATGGCTATGTATGAGGGATGCTGGGCTCTCCAGAAAGGTACCCTGCCTTCTGCCGGCTTTCTTTTTCCTGTGGAGGACCAAGGGAAAGACGTAAGCTTCGCACTGATTGGATCACTGCCACCACTGTCTGAGAGTGCCACGTGATGATTGGCTTAGACTTTGGTTAGTGAACCAATCAGTGGGCAAGAGTGCTTATCAGTTTAGACCAATCAGAGTCCACGGAGCAGGAAGGGCGAGGTCCTGCCTGCTCTAGTCACCAGGCGGCCAAGCGATAGGAGACCCATGGAACTGTTAAGAGGATGCTTTAGAGTTTCAGGATTTTTTTTTTTTTTTTAAGAAAGGTCTCTAAAACTCATTCTGTCACTTCCTTTAGTCATAAGGTTAGCTATGAGCAGCGGCCATGTTTTAAAGATTTAGGATGAACCTGCTTTCAAGTTCAGCCCCGACAAATTAAAATATTCTTCCACAAAATAGGCTTACTGTCAACGGAATGAACCTTGGCTCCTAAGATGCTGTAACTGGCTGAGTTGAAGGATGATAGTAAAAGATGTGCAGAGGTGACTACCACCCACCACTACCATATCCCCACACAGCTGATGTGCTTTGAGTCAGTGTACTGAGAGGTGGTTAGTTCAGCATAATGAATTCAGGCTCAGTACATTACTCCCAGAGTGGATCTTATTCTTGTGTGCAGGGCAAGGAGTGGGTTAGATAGAAGAGAACCGAAGATTTCCTAGGTTCTCTTCTATATTGCCTGGTTCCTGAAATTCCACATCATTTCATCTCTTGGACCCATTTAAAATAAATGCTCTCTACAGAGTTGCCCTGGGAGTTCTGTTACAGGGTAAAGGAGCTGGAGGACTCTGGGAGTCTGGGCAAATGTGGAGGATGAGAGGAGGAGCCAGAGGAGGATGTCTTTACTATGTGGTGTTCTTATTGATGGCCCTGCTGGCACATTACCAGATTGCTCACTACAATCAGCCTGCAACATTTAACTTCAAACCAGAATGATATTAATCAGTTAATTCATGAAAGTTGGTCTCATTACACCCTCCACAACCTGTGCACTTTTAGCCTTATAAGCTCTCCTCTCATCCCTGTCTTTACTCTGAGAGAGATCAAGGATGAGATGAGCAGGGGACTGTATCCTTTGAATACAACACACTGAGAATCAGAATCAAGAAACCTAGATTCTGCTACTAACAAGCTGTGTGACCTGGGAAAATTCACTTAACCTGCCTGTGTTTCAGATGTGTTTTCAAACTGTAAAATCAGGGAAGGGACTAAGCTCTTGCACAGGTTTCATTTAATATCTAACAATTTGTTTTAGCCTTCCCTTAAGGAATTGGAAATTGGCACAGGTTTTAAAGAGAGGAGAAGAGAATCAGTGGGAAGACCCTCCATCATTTAAAAATTTTTAAAAAGAAAGTTCAAAACAAATTGAGAGAAAGCAGCAGCTACAGCTCAGCCTTTTTCATGTCTCTGTGTCTGTATCCAGACACACTTGCACATGCAGAGGTGTTCACTATTAATAATGAAAAATTAAATTTCATTTCTTTATTAGCTAACATATATAAAGTTACTATCTTAAGTAATATTACCCCCCCCCACACACACACACACACTGGGGCCCTCTTCCAGGGGCAACCAGATTACAAATCTCTTGTATATTTCTAAAGTCATTATATGTCTAAATAAACATATTAGGATATTCTTTTTGTCTTTTTCCTTTTTTTTTTTTTTGGTTTTGGGTATTGAACCCAGGGGTGCTTTATCACTAAGCTACATTCCCAGTGTTTTTTATTTTTTGAGACAGGTTCTTGCTCAATT